CTGTGTGTAGGGCTCTGAGGTAGGAGTTGGGGGCTCAGCCCTGGGGGATTGGTTGAGGCAGGAGTTGGGAAGGGCCCTGAAGTAGGAGTGGGGGGGCTCTTAAAGTGGGAGGAGACGGCTGTGCCTTTTTTGGGGGGCCTGCTACTGTGCGAATGAACTGGAGGGGGGTGTCTTAAAGGAGGTTGGTGACTTCCTGGGGTAGGTAGTTGAGGGGGGGCTGTTTTGGGGGAGGTTTGGAGGAGCATGGGGTGTCCGGGGAATCGGGGTTTCCCTCTGCCCCACGTAGCTGGTTTTTGCGCTCACCAGTAATACTGGGATCGTGTGATTGTCCCAGCACCGACCCCATTCCTCACGTACACCGTAACACCCACAAACATGAGACCCTTGGGGGTCCCTCATTGACGGGGACACCCCTTTGCGTGTGTCATGCAGCCCTGTGACGCACCAGGCTCGCTCCACGCCTCTATGTTACCCCGTAATGCACGCCATGCCGACTTGGGGGGGTGGGACTTGAGGGGTTGCAAACACACAACCTGGGGGCACAGCACCCATGTGTCATGTCTGGGGCTTGGGGACACCTTTGGGTCACCTTGCTGTTTCTGGGATGTTGAGGGACCCTCTCATTCTCTGTGTAGACACCCTACCTGTGGGTGCTTGAACACCCCACGTGGGGTGTAGGGTGTCTGGGTGTGTGTGGGTGGTACCCAGTGCCCTGTGAAAAGTCCTGGCGGACCTGCTGCCTGCAAGGTACTCCAAGAGCCTTCCCAGTTTATACTGGGAAGGGCGTTTAGGCTCACTGGGACCCATAGGCACTTGCTTTTTCCTTTTAATTAAAGGGGTTTGATCTAGGACACCCCCCCCCCCAATTACGGGGTTTGGGGGTGACAAGCATCTCTCCTAACCCCCATCCTGTTCTTTCTGCAGCATGACGGACTGGGAGACGGCGCCCGCCGTCACCGAGACGCCCGACATCAAACTCTTCGGCAAATGGAGCACCGATGATGTCCAGATCAATGATATCTCCCTCCAGGTATATTTTGAGGGGTGGGGGACAAGGAGGGGTGTAATGGGGATTCCTGCATCTTTCCGGTGGCTGGGAGGAGTCTGACACAATATCCCACCAGGATTACATCGCTGTGAAGGAAAAGTATGCCAAGTACCTGCCTCACAGCGCCGGGCGCTATGCAGCCAAGCGTTTTCGTAAAGCCCAATGCCCCATCGTCGAGCGACTCACCAATTCCATGATGATGCACGGCCGGAACAATGGCAAGAAGTTAATGACCGTGCGCATTGTTAAGCACGCCTTTGAGATCATTCATCTGCTTACTGGGGAGGTGAGAAGGGGGCTAGGGGGGTGTTTTTGGGTGCCCGGGGGGGGTGGTTTTGGGCATGGGGGGGCTCATTTCTCTCCCTGCCTGTCCTCCGACAGAACCCCCTGCAAGTCCTGGTTAATGCCATCATTAACTCCGGACCCCGCGAGGACTCAACCCGTATCGGTCGCGCCGGTACAGTCCGTAGACAGGCCGTGGACGTGTCCCCCCTGCGCCGTGTCAACCAGGTATGTCCCCTCTTCATCCCTAAACCCCGAGGGGCTGCCACCCCCCTGTCCTCATGTCCCCGATGTCCTTTTTCTGTCCCCAACGTCCCTTTTTCTGTCCTCCTTGCCCCAGGCCATCTGGCTGCTCTGCACTGGAGCTCGCGAAGCTGCTTTCCGTAACATCAAAACCATTGCCGAGTGCTTGGCTGACGAACTCATCAACGCCGCCAAGGTGAGGAGGGGGACGGAGCCGTCACCGCTGTCACCTGCTCTCACGAGTTGGGGACACAATGGACTCCCCCCAAAAACTGACTTACACCCATCTCACCCCCCGCAGGGCTCTTCCAACTCCTACGCCATCAAGAAGAAGGACGAGCTGGAGCGTGTTGCCAAGTCCAACCGTTAAAAGCCACCTAATAAAATTCACTTGCTTTGTGTCCTTAACTCCATCTTCCCTGTGCTGTGGGGCTGGTGGGGTGGGACACAATGGATGCTGTTGGATTTGGGTGCTTTGAGGGGGGGGTCCTCAATGTGGGTAGTGGGCAGGGGTGTGGCTCCATGTCCTGCTTGTCCCGCTCTGTGTCCCCAGACCTGCCTCATTCCTCCCTCCTGGGAAAAGTTGGGGTGCTCCCCTGCTGTCATCCCCACCCTTTTTGCACCTGTTTTTTTCCCTGTTGGGGGAGGGTGGGAGGAGGAGCGGCACCTGATATGCGTGAGGGGCAGAAGGCGGAAGAAAGGATCGGGATAAGTAGAGCCAGGACGGATATGGATCCGGCACCTCCCCATGGCAGCTGGGGGTGGAATGGGATCTGCCCTGAGAACTGGCTCCTTGGTGGCCCAGGACCCCCTACTAAGGCTGGCATGGGGTTTGGGGGTGCTCGGCAAAGGTGGAGAGGGGGGGGGGGGTGGCAAGAGATGGTCCCTCCCCATGTTGTCCCAGCTCATGCGGGCAGGGCACGGCGGTGGGTGTGACGGTGGCGGACGTCCTCTTCGATCCTGGCACTGTCGGCTGCGCCAGGAGCCGAGTGGCCCCTTGGTGAGCTCTTACTGCTGGCACCTTGGGGTGCAGGTGAGGAGGGGGGGGAAATGACTGAGTTTGAGCCCTGCTAACATGGGGGGGGCTGGTACTTCCACCTTGAAGGTTGGACCCCCAAAGTATTTTTTGGGGGGGGTGGTTTCTCGGAGTGTGTGTGGGGTTGGTGTCTCCAAGGGGTGTTCTTGGCACCCCAGGGTGGGGGGGCATATTGGTTTGGGGGCAATTTGGCTTGGTTACCCCATAGATTTGGTGTCCCCAACCCCACGCTGCCCTTATTGCTGCTGGGTAAACACTGTCTCGCTTTTTCTGCCTGCCAGGGACGTCGCCGCGGCCATGGCCGAGGACACCGAGGGGTTCCCCTCCCTGGATTGCGTCATCTGCTTTGCCCCCTACGATCGTCTCTTCAAGGTGCCCAAGGTGTTGGGGTGCGGTCACACCTTCTGCCTCGAATGCCTGGCCAGGGTCACCGTGGTGGCCCCTGCCGCCCCCACCTTGCTCTGCCCCATCTGCCGCCGCCCCACGGTGTTGCCCCGCTGCCGTGGACCCCCAGCTTTGCCCACCCATGCTGATCTCCTGGCTCTCCTACCCCCTGGCCCCACTGGCTCCGTCCGCTTCAGCCGTCCTAAGGGGCTGCTCTACGTCCCCCCCGGGCACCCCAAACCCATCGACCAGGTCCCCACTGTGACCCTCAGCCTGGAATTGGGGCGACCTGAGCCCCCCGCTCCCCCCAACCGGGGTTGGCCCTGGATCTCTGGCCGGTGGTCTCTGTACCGAGCGGTGGCTTTGATGGTGGCCTTGGTGGTGGGAGGGGGTTTGGTGCTCTGCGGAGTCTTCCTCTTCTTCCTCCAGCCCGTGGCATGCAGTGAGGGAGGGCTGGTGACAAACAGCACCTGGGGAGAGCTGGGCTGTCCCCCATATTAAGAGGGCCCCCCCCCATCCCACGGCAGAGCCCCCCTTTCTGTCGTGGACCCCCATGTTGTCTTGATGGCCCACGGACCCCACCATGGGGATGAGTCCCTGTTCCCCTGTGGACTCTGAGCTCATGCCCTTGCCCATGTGTGGCTGGGGGGGGTGGGGCACCCACCTTGGAGTCAGGATTTTGCTGGGGGGGGGCGCACAGTACCAGCCCTGTCTCCCCTGTATTAAACGGGTTGTTTTCCTGGATGGCGACTGTGTCCCGGTGCTTCTTTTCCAATCCTGATCCCAAGGGCAGCCTCCCCCTTGCCCCTCCCTGAGTCAGGACACCTGGATCCTGTGGTTGCAGGCTGGATTTTTGGGATGTAAATCACCAATTTTGGTTCAGCAGAGGGAGAGGAATGGGGATCCCCGTGGCCGGGATGCCTGTGTTCCTGATATATGGGGACTTGGGGGGTGATTAAGGGTGACAGTGTCTAATTTCCTCCCCCTCTTCCAGCTGGTTGTTCCCTTCCCCTTTCCACCCTCCGACAGTGCTTGGCACAGGCACCACGATCCCTAGCCGCTATCGGCATCGTTCCCTGGTACTGGTGGCACGGGGTAGGGACGGTGTTCTGTGCTGGTGTGTGTTTTGGGTGTGTGGGGGGGGGGTTGGACCTGGTACTCCGGCCAAATGGGAGTGGGGGGCAGGGACTCCCACCTGGATTTTTGGGGGTTGATGTCAAAGCAAGAACATGCAGGTGGTTGGGCTGGTGTGTGCGGCTGTGAACACTGTCACCCTGAAGCAGCCAGGGTGGTTGTACCCGGTGCTGGACAGCCTGGTTCCAGGATCAATCAGATCCACGAACAGCCAGATCCTTTCCTTGGGCTCGCTGTCACTCCAAAACAGCCAAACTGCCGTAGGATGCCTGTGAGCTGGCTACAGCTCTCTGGCTCTACTGGGGTACCCCTGGTCTGGGGAGGGACGCAACCCCAGCGGTTGGGGTACGGTGTACTTCCCCTTTCATGGTTAAACACCACAACAGACACATGAGAAGAAGCAGGGTCCGGTTGTCCACTAAAGTGCGACTGTACATATGAGAAACCAGACCCCGGATACAACAGTCTGCGCGTACAGGACCCGACCTAACGCTGCGCTCAAACATACAGCCCCAGCCACAGACTCTCTGACGGTGCTCACACCTCACGGCAGCTGGTTGTGAGCTACAGTCAGAAGATACAGCATAAAAAATGAATCCGTGTGTACCAACAACTGATCCCAAACCAGCCATCGGCTACAGCCGGACCGTGCGTTACAGTAACCGATCCCAATGTGCAATACAATTTGATTGTACGTACAAGTTGTGCACTACAGTCTGACTAGACTTAACTAGATGCAGTTGTAGACTACAGCCTGACATTAAACTACAGGAATTGCCACTTGTGATACAACCGCCTGCATCCCTGGGCCTGCTCCTGTGTCCCCACATGGCCTGTATCGACACTGGGCTACAATAACACTGTTACAGGGGGGTTATCAGGGCGGTTGTTTGCTACACCAGGAGCCGAGCTCCGGTTGTGCGCAACAGCGCGGGGGGGATGGAGGGGATGTGGTGGAGGTGTAGCAGGGACAGGTTGGAGTAGGACAAGTCAGCGGGACTGTCCGACTGTGCTATGGCTGGAGTGGAGAGGGAGGTGGGATGACTGTAGGGGAGATGGGACAGCTGTAGGGGAGTTTGGGGGGGGGGGCTTTCGATGTTGTTAAGTCAGCCTTCATGCACTCTGCCCCCTCCCCCTTAATTAAAAACCCCCCCCCTCCCCCCCCCCCCCATAGTTTTCTGACTGACAACAGTCGGAGGGTGGGTGACACCCAGAGCCCTGGGCGGGGGGGGGACCCGGCCAGAGCCGTGGTCCCCCAGGTTAAGACAAAGAGATACATTTAAAAAAAATCAATAATAAGGCAGAGGCTCTGCCCTCCCTGCCTAGCCCCACCCACTGACCCCACCCCACTTAGCTCCACCCCTCGGCAAATAGCACCGCCCCTCTGCTCTAGCCCTGACACCCGTGGGAGTCACTTATAGAGGAGATGGACGCGGCTACCGTCACAGTTGCCCCGGCCGAGCTTGTCGGCTTGTTCCGAGACCAGGCAGCGGACCAGGGGGAGGTTGGGCTGGTAGAAGGGGGCCGGGGGGGCCGGGGCGGCGCTCAACCCCGGAGAGAAATGGTTGTCAGCCTCACGGGAAGGGTTGGACGACCGTCGGCGGGACCGGAGCTGCTGGCGGTCCTGGAGCTGCTGGCGGAGCTCTGATACACGTTCCTCTTTCTGCCGGGTGACAAATTTGGGGGGGGGGGGGGTGTCAGATACCACCTCACTGACCCTTATCAGTGTTGGGACCCCTGTCCCATGTCACCCCTGTTGCAGCCCCAAAGATGATCTACCCCCTTGGCATGGGTAGCAACCCCTCGAAGCTACAACCCACCTCTATGGGGTGCCCACCCCCAAACTGCATTTAGGGGTTTCCCCCCACCCACCCACCTCGGCGATGATTTTCTCCAGCTCCCGGTTCTCCTTCTCCAACAGCCGGGATTTCTCCTCCTCGTTGTTGTTGGTGGATGAGCCCGTCTTCATGGTGTCCTGCTGCTCCGACTGCCACTCGCCTCGGGTGATGAGGCGTCGCATCTGCAATGGTCCCCAGTTGTCAAAGTTGTCCCCCTCCTCAAGGCAACACCCCCACCCGGTTGTCCCATGTCCCCTGCCGACTGTCATCACCAATTCCGTGACCCTACTGGGGAAGAACCCTCCATGTCTGCAGAAGCAACACCTTGACCCTGCAAGGGAGGATGTAGGACAACTGTTCCTCCCCTCCCCAGAAGAAACACCCGCACCCCACTATCCCTTTCTCCACCAGCACCTTGGGGACGAAGAGGACAACCAAGGTGATGTAGGAGGAGAAGACGACAGCCAACGAGGCGAAGGCGAAGGCCGCATCCTGTTGGCTGCTGAGGATCATGGTGACAGGTGCTGTGATGAGGCAGAGGACCTGTGGGGAGGAAGGGGATGTTTTTGGGAGTCACTCTATGGGATGTGGGGTGAAGATGGGGGGGGGAACAGGATGGGACAGCCACCCCAGCTTACCGCCACGTTGTAGATGGCCATGCCCACTGCTCGGTGGTCGTTGATCTTCTCCGTGGACACGCTCTTAGTCTCGTACGCCAGGAAGATGCCCAGCAGCAGCAGCAACCCCTTGAAGCCATAAAATATCCCTGGGCGGGGGGGGAACCATGGGTGGTCAAACAGGGACCCTCCACCTGGCCCCCGTGGGTGCCTGGGTCTCCCCTTGGCTCTCTACAATGCGCCGTGTCCCCAGCCCTGCTCGTACCCCCAATCTTGCCTGTCCCCCCCAGTCCTGCCTGTACCTCCCCAGTCCCACCCACACTCTCAGCCCTGCCCGTTTCCCACCCCCCCTAAGCCCCCCCCATGCCCACCGAGCCACGTGTTCATCTTGGTGGAGCTGCAATGCTCCAGCTGGGGCAGGATGGAGACGTCCGTGTCCGTCTTGGGCTCCTCCTTGGTGAACTCCTGGGGGTGACGGGGTGAGAGACAGGGTGGGAGATGGGGTGTGAGGGTATATGGGGGGGGAGCCTTTGCTGTGGGCTCCCCCCAGCAGCACCCCAATGCTGTGAGCAGCCCCCTGACATGGTAACACCCCCTCAACACCATGAGCATCCCCCCAGCAGCACCGCAAGGCCGTAAGCATCTCCCCTAGCAGCAGCCCAACACTTTGAGCATCCCCTCAATGTCAAGAGCATCTCCTCAGCAGCACCCAAACACCATGAATATCCCCTTAGCACCACAGGCATCCCCCCAACATTGAGAACAGCCCACCCCTGCCGTGAGAAGTGCCCCCACCTCGATGGTGCGGTGCAGGGGGTCCACGATTTGCCAAATGATCAGTGTGACCACGTCCAGCCCCACAAGCAGCCCCACGGTGGCATACAGCTTCCAAGGCTCCAGGGTCTGGGTGTGGGGACAAAACAGTGTCATCAAGACCCCCATGCACCACCACCCCCCCACTGGGTGACCTCTCACCTTCCTCTTCTCCTTCTTCTCCTCCTTCTTGGTGAAGACAGTGTGGACCCACCAGATCTTGGTGAACATGCTGCCATACGCCAGGCTGAACCCCAGCCCAAGGAGCCACAGCCGGGCCTGAGGAGGGTACGTGGGTTGGGAAAAGATGGTTGTACCTCCCCGTCCAGCTGTACCCACCTCCGCTGCACCCCCATGGAGTGTAACCCCCCCTCCCATAGACCTCCCTTGACCCACTCCATAGGAAGTCCACAGCTCTACTCCCAACTGTTCCTCCTCTGGCGGTCCCCATCCTCTGGTTGTCCCCACTCTGCCTGTACCCCCCCGCAACACCCCACCAGCCCCATACCTGACAGACGAAAGGGAAAAGCCCCGGCCCGATGTGGTACCCGTCGAGTCCCAGGGGGAAGACGGCAGCAAGCGCCAGCGTGCAGCCCACAGCCGTCATGTTGTTCAGGTACGGCTGTGAGTTCTGGATGTACCTGGGAGGGGGTTGTTGAGGAGATGGTGTGTCACCCGGCCACTGTGCTCAGCTATCGGTGGTGTATGACATTCAGCTAACCCAACGGGACGGGAGAAATGAGGACGTGAAGTGAGATAACAGGAAACCACGTGCTACAGCCAGACCCTTGATAGCACCCATAGCTCCTACGCAGTGAGACGGGCAACTGGGATATCTACTAACAACAATGTTTTGTCACTGTCATCTTATGTAGGAGGACATGGGAGCATATAATCTCTTTTTTTCCCCTCTGGGTGTTGCTAACCACATGCTGCTGAGATTTCTTTTAGCAGCTATGGAAAAGGAAAGGTGCAATATTTCCTCAAATACCAGGAAAATGGGGGGGATCACTGACCGGACATGCCCATTGTAGATGTTGAAGGCCAGGCAGATGATGGCCAGGAGGATGCCCAATGAGGCCAGCACCGAGACGGAGATGAAGAGCTTCTGAGACAGGAATCGGAAGGTGGTGATGACCTTGGTGTAGTCAGCTGGAGGGGCACCTCCTGCAGAGCCCATGGCACAATTAGGGAGCGTGGAGGGGGGGGGTGTCTTCCCAACCCTTCCCCGTGGCGGGGACACCCACCCCCTGCTCACACCCCACATGCGGCGCTGCTCACCAATCCACTTGTCGTTGTTGTACCAGGACAGATTGTCCTTGGTGCTGTCATAGTAGCCAATCTTCTTGTAGACACCTCCTGCAAGGGCAGCAGAGATGGGTCAGGTTGGAGGGAAGGAGGAGTGACACCCCTCCAGTGTTTGTGCACACCCCCACAGGATCACAGACTGGTTGGGGGTTGGAAGGGACCTCTGGGCATCATCTGGTCCAACCCCCTGCTCAAGTCGGACCACCCAGAGCCCGTTGTCCATGACCACGTCCATGTAGTGTTTGGATGTGTCCAAGGGTGGACACTCCACCACCAATCTGGGCAACTTCTGCCAGTGCTTGGTCACCCGCACCATGAAAAAGTGGGTCCTGATGCTCAGCTGGAGCCTCCTGTGCTCCAGTCCTTCATCATCTTCATGGCCCTTTGCTGGATGCTCTCCAGTAGCTCTTTTGTACTGGGGAGCCCAGTACTGGCCCATCTCTTCAGGGGTGACCTCACCAGTGCCGAGCAGAGGGGAAAGATCACCTCCTCGACCTGCTCCACCACTCCTCCTGATGCAGCCCAGGACACTGTTGGCCACCAAGGCCATGTCACTGACTCATGGTCAACTTGGTGTCCACCAGGACCCCCAGGGCCTTCTCTGCGAAGCTGGTTGACCCCCAGCCTGTCCTAGTGCCTGGAGTTGGTCCTGGAGCACTTCCCCTTGCTGAATCTCATGAGGTTCCTCTCAGCCCACTTCTCCAGCCCATCAAGGTCCTTCTGGATGACAGCACGACCCTCTGGCATCTCAGCCCCTCCTCCCAGTTTGGTGTCATCAACAAACTGGCTGAAGGTACTCCCTGCCCCATCATCCAGATCATTGATGAAGATGTTGAACAGGACTGGGCCCAGTATTGCACTGGCCTCCAACTGGACTTTCTGCTGCTGATCCCCACCCCCTGGACCTGGCTGTTTAGCCAGTTTTCAGTCCACCCCACTGTCTGCTCATCCAGCCCAGACTTCATCAGCTTCTCTATGAGGATGTTCTGGGACACTGTAGAAAGCCTTCCTGAAGCCAAGGTAGACAAAGTCCACTGCTCTCCCCTCATCTACCAAGCCAGCAGAAGGTGGTCAAGTTGGTCAAGCATGACTTCTCCTTGGTGAATCCATGCTGACTACTCTTGACAACTTTCTTGTCCCAAGCTCCTTGCTTGTCCCCCAAACCTCCTCCACCTCTGCACCTCCTTCCGCCACATGCAAGAGCAGTTGTGTATCGGTAAGGACACATGTCCTGTTGGACACGTGGCCAAAAGGGTGTGGGAGGTTGTCCCATGTGCGTTGCCACCCCTTGAGAGGTTGTGCAGTGGTAGGACTTGTTGCAGCGTGCGTCTTGGGGTGGTTGTGTGCTGTTGTTGTGCAGACAACGTGGCCGCAACGCCAAGCCGTGGCTGTTGTGCCTGAAGGGGTGTTGCGGGATGCTTGGTGGTGGTCACCACGTGCAATACAGTGACAGTGCCACCCTGATATGGCTGCTGCCTGTGCTCACTCACCTTGCAGCTGCTCAATGAGCGTCCAGGCCATGCGGGAGCCACTGGCATCAAAGACAACATGTCCCTGTGGGGTGGGATGGAGATGGGTGTCGGGGACCTGTCAGGTGGCAGGACCATGTCCCCAGAGGGGTGTTGGGAGAACGTTTTCTCTGGGAGTTTTGGGGCAGCTCACAGGGACATCCTTGACGGATGCCTTCAAGGCACCTCCGCCACCACCTTGAAGGTGGAGGGGTTGGGGACATGGGAGACCTTATTGAGGAGAAGACGACACACTGGGGACTGGCAGGGGCTCAGGTGTGGGCAACGCACCGAGACACCCTCGAAGGCGGAGGAGTTGAGGGCCCGGTAGATCTCATCGGTGATGTTCTTGTTGTTGTAGTTGAAGTCCTCCAGGCGCAACCCCTTCTTGACCAGCTCTGCCGAGGTCTTATTGAGGGCCAGGGCCAGCGCCCAGATGGCATCGTAGGCCAGCGGCGCCTCCTGAAAGCCACCTGTCTCCTCGGGGTTCTTGCCCAGCCTCTTCTGCAGCTTCTCAATGAACTCCTGGGACGTCTGGAATGGGAAAAAAAACAGTGGTGATGTGATGGGTGGGATGGAGTGGACCCCCTGGGAGTGCCATGTGTCCCCTCATCCTCCCCATACCATGTTGGAGATGCTGCGGGTGTTCTCAGGGTTGAGCATGACGATCTCGGTGGTGACGTGACCTTCCACAGCCTCGGCCATCTCTGCCTCGGTGCAGTTGATGGCCGGATCCTTGATGCGGAACCAGTTGTCGGCGTACCAGCCAATGAGGAACCAGACGTACTTCTTGCCATATAGCTTCTCCTTGTAGACCTGTGTGGGCCAAGGAGCAGTGGCCTTACCCTTGACCCCATCCTTCCCTCTGTCACTCTTCACCCCATCCCATGCAGTCACCCTTCACTCATCTAGCACCCTTCTCCCCATCCTGTCCATCCAGCCAGACCTCTGTCCATCCACTCTTCACCCTGTGCCTCCACTTAACCATTTCCCTTCCCACCATTCCACCTGCCTGCCCATCCACCCATCCATCAGTCCTACCACACTCACACCCACCCACACTTCCACCCATCCATCCCAACATCTTTCTGCCCACTGACCCACACGTCCCACCGCCCTTCGCTCCATCCCACCATCCATCTCCCCACTCTCCCAACTGCCCCACGTCCACCTGATGCCCACCCACCCTTCTCTACTGCACAGCACCCATGGTCCCATCCTCCCACATGACCCCCACGGTGCCCACCCACACCACATCCCCCCTTTCACCTCCTCACCTCGCAGAAGACCTTACGCGCCTCCGTCTCATAGAAGAGCCCCACAATGATACGGGCGTCCTGGCGCTGCGGGGAGACAAGTCACCCTGGGGTGGGACTTCTGCTCCTAGAGGGTCAAATCCACCCAGCCTCATTTGCATAACTTTGCATAGGGGTGCTGAGGAGAACCAGAACCTTGGCATTGGCACAGCCAGGTCATGGGCATTGCTACCCATCTCCTGGCTGGAGGAGATGCATCGTTGATCTGGATGCTTGGCCATCTTGGGGTGTCTCTGCTCCCTTTGGGGTGCAAGACATGGCTCCACCTGCACCCCGATGGTTGTGGGTGCTGTGGGGCAGGACTTGGCGGGGACGAGGACCTGGGCACGGGCAAGGTGGACTCACCTTGAGGTTGCGCACGGGCGCGGCGGGGTCGGAGAAGAAGCTCTGGCGGAAGGTGATCTCCAAACCGGCTTCCTTCACCCGCTGGTCCAGGTCATCGAGGGTCTGGTGGTGGGCGGGCAGGAGGAGTGGGGAGCAGGCAGGAGGGGCAGGCAGGGAGGG